CGGCGCTTCCCTGGCCTATCCACGCGTCGCGGCGGCTTCCTCCGCCCCCCTCTAGTTACCGCCGCCCCTCGCGCGCGTCCATCCTCCGCCGAACAGCGCCCGGGCGCTCGCTACCGCTCGGCGCCGGCAAGGTGTTCGACAAAACGCCTGCAAGGTATATATTGCTCAAACTTCATGAATTTGGTGCATGTTGATTGTAGTTTTTATAGCATAGTATTGAACATTATAGATGAGTTCGTCGTATGATTCTTCCGAAGAAGAATTTGATATGGAAGAGGAGGAGGATCTTGCAATGATCCTAGTTATGCGCATCAATAAAAAACCGAAAGCACGGTGGTTCGGTTATGGGTCGGCAGAAAGTTTGGAGGGATAGGATCGATGCCCACAACAGATTGATCAGGCATTATTTTGCGGAGAATCCCACATACCCCAAGTCGTATTTTCATCGTCGGTTTAGGATGAGCACCGAGTTGTTCAGGCGCATTGCAGAGAAACTAGCGAGCCATGACCGATTTTTCAACAAAGGAGGAATGCCGCCGGAGAGCTCGGGCATAGCACCTTTCAGAAGGTGACAGCCGCTTTGCGTATGTTGGCATACAGTATCCCGGCTGATTTAGTTGATGATCACTTGGCTATGGGTGAGAGACAAGCCATCATGTGCGTCAAGTGCTTCGCAGTCGGAATTGTGCAAGTGTTTGGCCAGGAGTATTTGAGATCTCCCAATGCTGAAGACGCCGTAAGTCTATTGGAGATGAACAAAGCTCGCGACTTTCCTAGTATGTTTGGCTCAATAGATTGCATGCATTGGAGTTGGAAAAATTGTCCAAAGGCATGGCATGAACAATTCCACGGCCAAAGAAAAGGTTCCACTATAATTCTTGAAGCGGTGGCCGATCAAAAGACTTGGATTTGTGATGCATTCTTTGGAATGCCTGGATCTTTGAATGACATCAATGTTGTCAACCGGTCACCACTGATGAATAAGATTGCAAATGGTGATTTGCCACCGGTGCAGTTTGTAGCAAATGGCCGTACATACAACTATGGCTATTATCTAGCGGATGGCATCTATCCAAAGTGGCAAACCTTTGTGAAGCCGTTGAAAAAACCGAAAGGTAAGAAAAATCTTGATTTCCACAATGTTCAGGCGGCGGCTAGAAAAGATGTGGAGAGAGCTTTTGGGATTTTACAAGTCCAATTTGCTATTGTGAGAGGACCGGCTAGATTTTGGGATCAAAAAATGCTTTGGTACATCATGCACGCTTGTGTGATCATGCATAATATGATCATCGAGAATGAGTGTGGCCAAGATATAGTCTACTCAGTGTATGAGCTCTTGGGACATCCCGTGCGAGTGCGACGGAGGGTTGAAAGGGTGGCCCGTTTTGTTGCCTCCTATCATGCCATTCGACGTCCCGCGGCGCATTATGATCTTCAGAAGGATCTCATTAAGGAGTGGTGGACATGGAATGAACGACAAAGAGCATCATGATTTGTGCGTTCAATATTGTATTGTTGAACTATTTGTTGTGTTTATTGCACTATTTGTTGTATTGAACGATAAATTGTTTGTTTGAGTTGTAATAACGAAATTGAACTATTTATTTTGATTTATTTTATTTGTGTTTAATCTTTTTGCTTCTGTTTTAAAATGCATATGTTGTTTGTGCGAGAGTCGCGCGCGCTGCATTTTTGCACGCTGCTGGAGCTGCGCGCGCTGCATTTTAGCACGGCTGCTGGAGACAGCGTTGCCCGCCGCACAAAACCAGGTGATGGACGCGCGGCAAGGTAGTTTTTAGCGCACGACGCGTTCGGCGGCTATTGGAGATGCTCTAAGAAGCCATTTCTTTCAGCAAAGAGTAGCAAGGATGAGTGCAACAAATCAACTGGAAACAATCAGGCACATACTGTATATGACAGCAGAATACTAGTACAAGCTTGTACATTACTCCTTTGCAGACTTACAAATCCAAGACATAGTGAATCACACATCCTTCTATTTTCCGAAGTACTAATATCATGGTTTTAAATAGCATGCTATAGCGTTTACAAGAGGTCCTGCACTAAGAAATTTTGATTCAAACACATAAACAAACATTTTAAATAACACGCTATAGCAATGATGTAGCATTTAAAAGAGGTCCACCGCTAAGTGGCTTAGCGCCCTATTTAAAACTAGGGACTAATATACCATGCGTATGTGAATGTCAAGGCGAATCCTGATCAACCGTTGGCGCAACGTTAGCAACGCGTTGATTGTTCTGGTACACATACTTGTTGGCCCAGTACAGATAGTTGAAGAAGCCGAGCAATCCGACAACAGCCACAACCCAGTAGAACCAGTCAAGATGACTAGTGTTCAAGCTTGTGCCCTCGAGCCAGCCTACCCGGTGACCATGCCTTGTCGCCCCGTTCACTGCATCCACCAGGAACGTGGCCATCAACGACGCGAGCCCGAGATCACACCAGAACAACGCCGTGCCGATCGACTTCATACCCCGTGGCGCTTCACTGTTGAAGAACTCAAGGAGGCCAGTGAACGATGTCACGTCTGAGACGCCGAGCAGGAAGAACTGAGGTGCTAGCCAGAAAAGGGACATCTGCACCGCAGATTCCTTTCTCTTTTTCTCGACGACCGCCGCGATGACGCAGGCAAGTATCATGGAGGCAAAGCCTATGCCGATGCGCTGCAAGTGAGTGATGCCGCCGCTGTAGCCCGTGCGCCTTCGCAAGAATGGCACGATGAACTGATCATAGATTGCAAGCATCACCATCTGGAATGTGATGGGGATGACGAAGAGTGTCGCCGGGGAAACGTGGATCTTGCCGAGCCTTGTGTTGGTCAAGCCGCCTTGCTGCACGGTGAATGTGAATAGGATGATGTTGGATATGTATCCAATCACGGAGCTGATGAAGATGGGAAGAAAGCGGAGTACAATCTTGGTCTCCTCCACCTTGGTCACACTGCAGACTGACCAGTCTCCCTTTTTGCCACGGTTGATGCAAGCTTTATCGAGAAATCTGGCATGATGCATCACAGAGTTAGGGAAAAGGGATTCTCAAAACCATATGGTGTACTCTATATGGCAACTTGATAAGTACAAGCAAGGGAAAATGGTTCGATTAACTGAGCCTTACTTCAGACTATTTGTTTGAGAGAGTGAGCCAATGTAACCTGTCCCCACCTCAATACTCATTTCATGCGCTTCTTCTAGCCCCTCACCAACTTCAGTCTTCCTGTTGCGGAATGCAACCACAAGAACCTGGGAGAAGCAACATTGAGGTCAACACAAGTAACATATTATGTCTTGAGCCAGGAAGTAGCATGTACCACCTGCAGTATTCGAGTCAGAGGACTTCCTTGTGGTACTTGATTGCGGTAGAAAGGGAGACCAGCAGCAACTACGAGCAATCCGAGCAGAACTATGACGGCACACAACCCTAGTGCGACATCCCACCCTTTGTAGTCTTGGAGCCACACTATGAGAATCAGCCCTACGAAGCCTCCAAAAGAGATTCCGAAGGTATACCAGTTAAAGAAGCTGGACTGCTGGTGGGACTCTTTGGGATCCTCATGGTCAAATTGGTCTGCTCCAAGGGACGGCAAGCAAGCCCGTATACAACCATCACCAACTGCACTCAGATACAAGCCTACGTACAATAAGGCAGCGTTCTTGCCATGGACTTGTTTGCAATTGTTTAGCTCTGCTTCAGTATTGCAAGGGGGTGGATGGAGGGAGGGTAGGTAGGCTTGCAGTGCGAGCAATCCGTATCCCTGCACAAATTAATGCATGTTCGACCGATCATGCTACAATAACATCACATATCTTAGTTCCCTACTTGAATACGGATAAATGTTGGCATGAAGGAATTCCTCATTATCAGCGTTAATAAGTGGGTTTCATGGTCAAGGATATGCCGAAGTATGTACTGTATCTTTTGCACGAATTGAGTTATATGAAAACATGACAAGATATAAGGCAGTTTTATGTTTCAGCATATCACCGGTATCGCATCGCTGTTTTATTAAGGTATATTAGTAGTCCATTCTCACCACGCCTCTTTCAAATTTGTGCACCCAAAATTGATTGTTGCTTATGGTTTGTGTCTGTTAGATGCCAGGCTAAATGGTTGGATGACATTTCACCTTCTTCTTTTCAAATAATTGTTGTCACTGATTTTGTTAACGAAATCGGGTCTCTGTTTCCCTTTTTCAAAAAGTAAATGTATAGCAAGTTCCCAACTAAATTTCAGCTTTGGAAATGTACATCAGAATTGCAGACAACACTTCCTTCAAATTTGGTGAGGCCACATCGAAATGAAGAAAATTACAATAATAAAACAAATCAAATCTATGATACTATGTTAGTCATTTTTAGCACTTATCAGACTATAATTTTAAGATACTAGGATTTCATATTCACCTTTTTACTCATAAAGGCACATATGTTTTAAAATAATTCATAAAGACACGCATGTTTTGTTGCCGTCTCTATTATTGGCTGGTTCTAGTTTTAAAAAATTAACTACTTTGGATCATTAGAAAAATAGAAATCATGTAGATAATTGGACAGATGAAGATGCATATTACCAGAAACATAAATGGACCAATGAGGAGCATGGTTCGGGCCCGAGTGATGTAGGAGTCAGAGAGGAAAGCTCCAATCATTGCAAACCCGGATGTGGCGCCAAAAAAATTAGCAGCTGTAGTCACCGAGCCCGAAACCCCCATATGCATTGTTCCGTGGAGATAAGTAACCATATTCAACAAGTTTGGGACAATAACCACGTTTGTTACCACAGTCAGGACTGCAAGGGGAAACAACATACAAAAATGATTCAATGTTGTGACCTCACAAGCTTATAGTGAGATATTGCATGGCCGCACATATGTAAATGTGTCTGTAAATAACGACTCGGAGGGTAGTGACTTAATTACCATACAAAAACCATGCTGCTCTGACTCCGCCATGCACCTCTTTGTTGATGGTGTTTCCCCTCCAATTCACAAAGACTCCAAGTGCCATGGCGCTTCTTCTTCCCCCTTCTGATCACTACTGCTTGTCTGCCTGCCTCTTGCATGCCTCAGAATAAGAGGGGTATAAATAGAAGGTGGATATTCATATTCAGAGCCTCAGAGGCCTGATAGCATCAGCAGGATCAATCAAAGATTCTGGCCTATTTTATCCCATCATTACCCACTACCGGCATTTATTTGAATTACATTGCTTCTACTTGCTATTTTTTACGAAGTAAAATTTCGACTGTACAAAACACATACACTAACATCGAAGTAGAAAAGCAGGTACATGTGACTAAAAGTCCACAAGTACCAACCACTAGCACAGATTGCTATCAATGGTATGCCATCATCCTGAGAGCAACATTTTGCAAGTTAGCTCATAATCCAATATTTTGTTTCGAGCAGAGTTCTTTTTTATGGTAGTGCACCTTGATTGATTCATGAAGTGGGAAGCCCGCATCTGGGACAAACATGATAACTACGTATATCAGAACTTAGAACTAGAACAAAACAAATTATTAGAAGAAGACGCCAAACCTACAATGACAAACAAAACAAACAAAACTGCAGGCAGATAGCAAAAACAAATAACTAGGCGGCTAACTAGACCTATAAATGAAAAGCAAAGGCGAAAATAAAACGAGGCCAAAAGGGAGAACAGAAAATAAGCTAGGTTAGGGAAAGTCCAGCAGTTCCCTTAATTTTTTCCCTATATCTCAAAACAGGGGAC